GTAATTTAGATCTTAGGAACAGATTCGTACTTTGATAGGTGAAGGAGAAGGCAAACAGATACAGTGGGTGGGCACTCAATACGTGGCACACAAACAACTGACTGTCCCCATGGAATCACGTTAGTGCTTCTTCAATTCACAACACATCTCCCAAAAGTGAAGACTGTGAGTGCCAAGAGAATCTAAACGTCAGAAAGTTCTTCTTTTTAAAGTAAAATAATGAAAATAGAGATGCAGGCCATGAGAGGCGGGCTACGAAACATAGCATGAGAAGGTTCACATACAATATGTTACATGGTAACCTTGAGGGAGAGTGTGATAGATCAAAGGCAGATATTATATATGCTATAAGGCAACAACCAAAGACAAAACCAAAACTTAAACACACAAAATCTCCCAAGGAATTAACAAATGGATAAAATGGAATGTTAGAAAATCACCCAATTCATTCAAAGAAGGGAAAAAGGAAGACAAACAAGATGATAGTGTTAAATACAGCAATAATTGTGAAATTAAAAAGTCCAAATTTAAAGGCTGGGAACATAGCTCAGTGGTAGAGTGTGCTGGTCTAGCACGTGTTGAGACCCTGGTTACTATTCCCAGGATCACAAAAGGAGATCAGGGGTGGGGAGAGAAAGAAGGAAAAGAGAGGAAAAAAGGCATAGATTTATCAGATTACAAATTAATAAACTACAAGCTGCTCACAAGAAACACACTTTACATAGGTGCTACTAAATTTACAAAGGGGTTATAGCACAACAAAACCACTGTACTCTGAAAATAGTTAAGTCAAACATGAACTTAATACACCGCCACTGCTGAACCTCACAGCGTAGGAGCACAGCACACTGAGCCTGCCCGCTGTTTCCCTGTGACTAAAGGCTGCCCGGAAGCCGTACTCCTGCCACTGCCTAGCATCATGAGGGTGCCACACATGTAACACCAGCCCCAAAGGTCAACCTTTGGAAGTGTGGTTCCTACTATGTGTAAAAGGTGAGTTGAACCATCATAAATTGAGGGCTGTATGTATATAATAACATAAATAGCTTAAAGGAAAGAAAAGGAATAAAAGTAAAGGCTAAATTTCAGAGCAAAGACTAGCAAGATCTAGGACCTTGTTCTTCCAAAGGTAACATCAAATAAGCAACATTGAGACAAATACATCTTTGTAGGAAATCTAGAAATTAGTAAAGAAGCAGCAAATGACAACCAACACACTCAAATTTAGCCGGGTATCATGGTGCATTCTTTTACTTCCAGCACTAAGGAGGCTGAGGCAGGAGGATTGCAACTTTGAGCCCAGCCTGGGCATAAGACTGTCTCAAAACAAAAACTAAAAAGGTCTGGAGGTGTAGTTCCATGTAAAGACCCTAGGTTTCATCCCTACTAGGAAAGCAACAAAACAAACTAGGAAATTTTATGGTACTTTGCTCATGCTCAATTCCTAGCTTCCCCAGGACAGTGTTGTATCATGGGAAGGAAGTGACTCAATTCCTGGTTACTCCCTTGAGATGGAAGGAAAAAAGAGGAACACACTTGCAATAATCAGGCTTGTTAGATGGTTGAGGGACTGGTTTCTGTTTTGCCTAACTCAGAGAGCAGATAGGAATAAGGGCACAGTTTAGATACCAGGGTGGAGGCTGCTACAGGCAGTGACAGACACTGGTGTTTGAGTGCTATGGAAAAGTGCAGCCCTGTGGGTGCTTGGGGTCAAGAGACTGAGGATATACTACATCAGAACATCTGTCCTAGTTTAAATATGGTTTATGAGCTGGAAGCCTGGTCCTCAGTGTGGTGATATTAAAATAAATTACATTTGTGGTGGCATTAAGATAAAGGAACTGTTAAGGTTAGGGCCCCGTGTTAGGTAATTAGGTCCTGGGGGGATTGCCCTTGGATAGGGTTAATGCTGGTGGTCTTGCAGAGTAAGTTCTCACTAGAGTGAGTTGTTTTAAAAAGATCAAGTCTAGCCCCTCCTGAGAGTCTCTCTCTGGGTTTCTATCTTGCCATGTGATCTTTTCTGCCATTATGACATCATCTACCATCAGGTCTTCACCAGAGTTAAGTAGAAGCTGCCACAATGTTCTCAGACCTCCAGAAAGGTGACCTAAATGAGGCTCTTTTATCCAGCCCTGGGTACAGTATTTTGTTTAGCAAAAGAAAACATTTATAAAACTCCGAACCTGTGAAAACCCTCGCACTGCCCCACTGAACCTAAGACTTTCTCATTGAGCTACATCCCCAGCCCTTTAAAGTTTTTGAGATAGGGTCTTCTTGCTAAGTTGCCCATATAGACTTGAACTTAGGTTGTTTTTTGTTGTTGTTTTTGGTACCAGAGATTGAACGCAGGACTTCACACTTGCTAGGCAGGTGCTGTGCTGCTGAGCTACATCCCTGGCAAGAGGGGTTTTTTTGTTTTGTTTTGCTTTTTGAAACAGGGTCTCACCATGTAGTTGAGACTGACCTGGAACTCACTATGTAGCCCAGGCTGGTATCGAACTCACAGCGATCCTCCTGCCTCAGCCTATGGGATTATAGGCATGCACCACCATGCCTGGCTTAAGAGGGGTTTTTTGAGACAGGGTCTTGCTACGTGTAGGCTGGCCCTGAACTCACTGTAGTTAAAGTGGATCTCAAACTTGCAGGCAATCTTCTTGCCTCAGCCTCCAAAATACTCAGATTACAGACATGTGCCACCATACTTGGCTGAAAAAGCTTAAGGGAAGTTAAGACATTTAAGAATAGCTTTGCATATGGGAATTGGAAAAAACCAAAAACCAAAAAAAACCCCAAAACCAAAAAGCATGCGCAGGCCTGGGAAAGACAGCCACAGGTAAGGCCTGAGAAGACCTCAGCCTTCATGTGTAGTGACTAATAAACTTTTTCCCTGCACGGAGCCAGCCTTGCAAGACAGAGAGGCGACTCTTCCCACCACCCAGGTACACATGTTCAATATTTTAAAAAGATCACAAGCATCCACTGTAAGACTTTCTGTCCTATTCTTTACACAGAGGAGGAAAAGGTGTTTACTTTCTCAGACTTCTTTGTAATAAAGGGGCCTAATAAATAGCTTCCTATAGGATTGCTTCTGGGAGAGCTTTTCTTTTCCTGATGAATGGAGTGGACGTTGCCTGTATTAGCTTCCTCCAGTTCTCTTTCCTTGAGTTTGGACACAAAAGCATCTTGTGGCTATGCATGAAAAGTCAGGGGAATCAGAGACAGGCTAACATCTTCCTTCTAGATGACTTGGAAGAGAGAAAAAAAAAAATCAATTTTAGCCACCATTAAATGCTTGTTGTCTACTTACAACTGAAACCATCTGTCGTGGACATAGAATCATGAGCAGATCTACAAATTTAGGCAGTTTATAGAAGGTAGAAAGCAGGCAGGACCACAGTGACAGATGACTCAGAGAGAAGCCATAGGTTCTCTGGGGAAAAGCCTCAGTGAGGTATCTCTTTGTAGTTGACAAGAGCAGCTATATAAGAACTGAATGACTAGGGCGGTGATGGTGGATCTCTTAGAGAGCAGGACCCAAACTACAATACAAAACCCGTTTATTTATTATCACAAAGTACAACACTGCAATTAAACCTGAATACTGAGGTTTTAGTTTAGAAAAAGACAACTCATACGGTAACATTTTTTGATTTATCACATTGGCCTAGATGGAGCAAAGCCAGGGCTAATGTCCAAGAATGGAGGGAGGTCCATGCTAAACCATTCCTCCTTTGTGCTGGAAACCCAAAGACATGTAACATAGGACAAGGTAAACTAAAAGCAATCCCTGAGCTAACTAGCATCCACCTTTAAGTCTTAGGCAGGCTGCATAGAAAACCTCAATCCTGAACTGGACAGAACAACTTGGAGTACATCAGGAAGTTCATTGGAGCAAATAAAAGAGCTCTGCAGAAGTAGAGAACATCATGTTGGACTTCTAGTTTTTCAAATATCATGTCCAGGAAACAGTAAAAAATAACCAGTAACATAAGGAGATTAATACAATACAAATGAGAAATAGTAGAAACACTTACAGGAAATAGAAACATCCACTAAGACTTCCAAAACTAAAATTACCAGACAATTTTTGGTGGCAATCAGATCCAATGGTATTCTATCACCGAGCTACACTCCTAGCCCATTTCATTTTTTGAGATAGGGTCTTGCTAAGTTGACCAGGATGGCCTTCAAATTGCGATCCTCCTGCCTCAGCTACCCAAATAGCTGGGATTACAAGCGTGCACTCCAACACCCAACCCAGACACAGTATTTAAAAATAAAATAACTAAGCTTACTGTACTCCACAGCAACCGCACTGTTGAACAAGACATACCAGACTGGTTTTCGGCTCAACTGTACCAACTCTGGGCCCCTAAAAGAGTATTCCAGCTCCTCCGGTCTCTACTGCCTACCTCTTGCATGTGACTCCTGCCTCATCGCATACTACCCTCTTCTCTCGCCTCCTACATGCCAGTAACACTGGCCTTAAATGTGCCACATCCTTTTTGTCCTCACTGTTACCTTCACCAGGAAATGTTTTCCCCTAGTCTCTGCAGCTCATTTTTGGGTTTCGTCTGAAATGTGCTCTTCTGGTCCTGGCTACTCTTTCCTGGGTATTCGTATCTCATTGTCCTGCTTATTTTCTTCTCTTCTTGGAGTGTGCAAGAATCCATAATCAGTGTCTTCTCACCTAAATGCCCCCTTGCCTATGTGTGCACGTGTGCCTCCCCACTGGAGCCCCACAGAGGCATCCTCATATAAAACCCAGAGCATCTTGTGTCTCACAGGTATGGAATGGAGCTTTCCACGTTCCTGATACCGAGAAGCCTGTTCCTGCCCAGTCATGGAGGCCACTATTCAGCCTTTCCCTGATGCTGGCACCCAAGGCAGGTGCTGAAGAAATCTTAGGCTTATTCCAGAGCTCTCTGGCTTATTTTTAAAATCTCCACCTTCATGTTTCAAGAAAGAATTCTTGTAGCAAGAATGAAAGAAACACCTACCACTACTGTTGACTCCCACTGGCTTCCAGTGGAGCAGTGAACGGGACCCAGTAAGTCCTTGCATATTTCTCGGAGTCGGTATTCAAACCCTAATTACAGAAAAACAAAACCAAAAAACAAAAAGAAATAGGAACACATTACAAAAGGAAATTAAAAAATCAAGAATATGCTAAATTATTGTATATATCAAAACAGAGTGAACACTTATTTTTTTCCCTTCTATGGGCAAAATGCCTCTGCGTCTCTGTTAGGACATGGAGACCCATAATCACAGGTTCGTACCCACGTGCGTATACAGCACCTCATGGGTGTGATGGCACACAGGAGAAACAAGATATGGCCGTTCTGTGATGAGCTTCCCAAGATGGAGGGAACACAGAAAACTGCGGCACAAGGGGTGTGGGCCCGTCGGATGTGTTCAAAATCAGACAGGTAGGCGGCTGGGAGGGAAGGGAGTGTGGAAGGCGGGGAGGCAGCATGGAGACGGTGAGGGCACGATGATGCAGAGCGGCAGCTGAGTCCAGAGACATCCAGGACTGAAAACCGAGTGTGGGTGAAGAGCCCAGAGAGGCAGTGGAGGCAGAGTCTGGGATGGTGGCAGTACCTGGGGAGGCTGAAGCCACAGGGAACGAACAGGAACAAAGAGTAGGGAATAGGAGGGATGAAACGACCTAAACCCTGAAGAATTTGGGAAGCGAATGGGGTTTTACTGTAACATTGGATTCCTCCTGTTACAGCTGAAAAAGCAACAGTCAGTGAGTGTGGGGACTGGTGTATAGTCCAGGCAGCACTGCGACAGTCTGGTGGAAGGAAAAAAGAAAGAGCACGTAAAAGTGACTCCACATAAGGGGCTGGGCCTAGAGATAAGGCTGTGGGGTGAATCCTGCTTAACACCCAGGTAAGGAAAACTAGAGTGTAGAGAGGAAGCATTTCTGGATGGAACAAGGCACAAGACCTGAGGTGTGATGGGAGTGCCCCAAGTCTGAGCACCTTAGACGTAGAGTCTTTAGGAAAGCTGGTGTCCTCACGTGCTAGGAGGCCATACAGACTGGGAAGGAAGAGCAAACATCAAATTTATCATTGGAATCATTAGGGAGGGAGACAGGTATCAGAACTGTTTTGTTGTTATTACCAGTGTGTATAATCACACCCTCAGATTCACACCACTGGAGACAAATGTCATGTTGATTCTGGGAATTACATCTGTAGGCCTTTGGTACATTTTTCTCTGTCTTTTCTGTACTTGAATTATTTTTTCTCTAAGTTATAATCAAAACGCAGAAGGTGGTGACAAGAACAAAGCAAAGGGCCAGAAGTGGCTGAAGAAAGCTCTGGAAATAGGCCTGGGGCTGTGTGCAGATAAAAGGAGTGCTCTGGAAGGGCCAGTCCTGTGCCACAGACCCTGGCGGTCATACTTAGGTGAGAAGAAGGGCTGATAAAAAAGACAGACACTTGTCTGATGAGGGATTAACGGCTGTTGGCGGTCGCTCCAAGGACAGTACAGGAGCCTTTTTCAGCACACCTTGTTTTCTGTAAGCAATGCTATTGAGAGGGCACAGGTGTTCTGACAACTCTGAAAGAGAAGGCCTGGTCTAGAGAGCCATGGAGAGGTGCTGGACAGCAGGCAGACCCTTCCAGGATAGGAGGGACTCCCAGAAGGAAAATAAACACCGACAGAGGATGCCCTACCATGGGGTGACCAGCTTGCTGACTATCAATGCTGCCAGCGTGGAATGGAAGGCAGGAGCCATAACACTGACTTGGCTGCTTCAAGGCAGGCCTTTCCATGCACGTATCCACCCTCACTCCCTGCTGCCCACCCTCCCTGGGGGAACATCCTCAGGCCTATGCTATTCAGGTTCTAAAGCCAATGAGGAGGCAAGATGCCTGCTGGACTGCCCTGATCACAGCAAACTGGGAGATAGGGCTAAGGGGCTCACTGTGGTCAGGGGAGGAGGAGACAAAGACCTTGAGGGGGTGACTGAGAGGACCCCTGAGGAATACACATGACTGTAGAGAGCCCTGGGCTCTTCTTTGACTCCCAGAAACTGAGCTAGGCCTCCGAGGACAGAGGGGCACGTGGGGCTGCCTGGAACTCACCTTCGTTGACAAGGTACCGTGCGTAGAGGAGGAGCCAATGGCGGTACTCATGGCTGGACTGCAGAGTGAGTGCTGCTGCAACCTGGTTCTCTAGGTAGGCCAGTGTGGTCTCCTGCTGTACCACGTGAGGCACGGAGAAGAGCCGGGCAGCTTGCCTCCCAGAGCTGCAGAAACCGGCATAGCAGGTATGATGAGACAGAGGGCCCCGCCTGGGCACATGAGGTGTCCCCAAGTGCCCTAGTGAGATGCCACAGTATGAAAGTTTCCTAGGCTGCCCAAGGCCTTCATTCACCAGCCAGTCTACTGTCCACCCCAGGCCTCTTAGTACACCAGGTATATCCTATCTAGGTCCTGCAGATATCAAGGCAGTGTCCCATTCCCCAGACCCAAAATACTGCCCCACCTGGTACCTATGACCCTCATCACCCCCACACTGGCATCTGGGTCCCCACAGTGACAAGGCCTCTGTCCCAGCCACTCCTGAGATATTATTGCATGTGGGCCCACAACTCATGAACATTCCTCTCCTTCCATCTGTGCTGAGAGTAGCAGCTGGGCACAGGGGACAAGAAGAGACCAGGCTTGTTCACTTCCCTGGAAAGCACTGCTGACAATGGCCATGGCGCTCAGCTCACGTACTTGGAGGTGCGGCCCTGGATTATGGCTAACGGTCCTGAGCACAGCATGGCGTCCTGGGATGGCAAGCTGCTCCTAAAGTCTGCACACTGGGCCAATGAGTCTTGCTTGTCAGAAACCAGGTTCCTGGGAAGACAATGGCAGGAGTGGAGGTCAGAAAATCAGGAGGCCTACTAAGTGAGGCTGGCAAAGAAGTCAAAGAGAACGAGTCCTTCCCACCAAACCAGCAGCAAACCAAAGGAGGATGAGAGTCACTGTACTGTAGCCTAAGTGCTGACTACTGGCATGTTTCCTACTCATAGGCCTGATAAATGACTGTTTCCAGAAAAGGTTGCTGATGGGCTCTTTGAACATTTTGGATTCAGTCTCAGTTTCTGATGACCAGGAAAATCTCTGCGTGTGAAGTATGTTTTAGATGCTCAGTGGCCTTCCTAGGCACCTACATAGCCTAGACCTGCTCCAGCTGCCAGCCTTGGCTTTTCTGTACCTCTCCAATATCCTCAGGCAGGGAGCTCTTCCACCTTCTTGGCATCCTTCACTTCTTAGTTAGGAAAACAATCACCATACACTTTTTTTGTTGTTTGTTTTGTCTTTTGGTACCTGGGACAATCGCCATACACTTTTTTTGTTGTTTGTTTTGTCTTTTGGTACCTGGGATCAAACTCAGTACCTTATGCTTGCGAGGCAGGTGCAGTGCTACTGAGCCCTGGCCCTTCCATATATTTTTAAAACAGCTGGGTGCCTCTGTAAATATGTCTTAAATACAAGATATACTTGTATATGTATATACAGCCAATATGTTGTTTTTTTTTTTTTCCCCCTTAAAAAAATAATCGGGCTGGGGATTTAGCTCAGTGGTTCTGTTGCCTGCCTCGCAAATGCAAGGTCCTGAGTTTGATCCTTGCTACAACAACCCCCCAAAACCCCAAAAACAACAATTTAAAAAACCCCTTGTCAGGCTGGGGATTTAGCTCAGCGGTTCGGTGGCCTGCCTTGCAAGAGAAAGGACCCGAGTTTGATCCCCGGTACCAAAAAAAAAAAAAAAACCAAAAACCAAAAAACAAAAAACCTTGTCTCCATTACTGATCACACATACTATACAACTTTTTTTTTTTGAAACTGGAGAGAGTAGGTGGTTGAGATTTTATTTTATTTTTTAAGTGAATACAGTGGTACCTTGGTTCATTAACTCCATTTGTTCCACAATTTTGGAAAACATGGCCACATTTGTGTTTCTGCCAGAAAGATGGCCATGGTCATATCTGTCACCTAATGTAGAATTTGCAAACAAAAACAAAATTTTGCCAAACACTTTTGTTTGTGAACCAAGGTTCCAATGTAATGAAATATCAGTGTGAGTACAAACTTGTGCCTGCTAACTCTTAACAGAAAAGGGGCTAGGAGGTATAAGTTTTGGATATGAAGAACCAAAGGTACAGGCAGACAGAATTTCCTGGGTGGCTGGCAGGCAATTTACATATTTTGTATGTCTTGGTTAAAATCTCTGATGTATAAGGAGATTTTACAAATAGAGAAATGGGATCCAAATTCCAAAGAGGTCAGAGGAAATGTATGAATCATACCTGGATAAGTGAGTGTTCATCCCTGTTAATTCACTAAGCAAATCTGACTAGCTACTTTGCTCCTATTAAACTCCCAAAAGGACTAACTTGACAGCTTGCTGTTGGGCCAGCACTCTTGTGCTACTGATAGCTAAGGAGGTCCAGCTGGAAATACTGTTAGGAACCATAAAAGAATGTCAAGTGCCTATTTCAATAAAACTGGCCTCAGAAAATGTCACAGAGGAACAGCTCCCCTATTTATGGGCTATGAGGACAGAGAAGCCACAGGCCAGCAGTGCCCTATGGACATGGCAGGACACATACTAGCTGTCCAAAGTCCAGGCTCTGACCCCGAGGAGAAGCACGGCAGGCAGGCCTAGCTGCCAGGACCCAGAGCCTTTGCTCTGCTGTCCAGTGCAGTAGGACACTCACAGGGAACAATGCTTACCACGTAGAGAGTGACGGATTAAAGCAGTACGCCTTCCCATCAGACAGGTTCATCACTGGGATTCCGTGCTGTGTCAGCAAGATCTGTGATACTGTCATATCACTTCCTGGGGCACAGCACAGGAAAAAGTTCCAGCGTATTCTCATCAGCAAGTGTTTCCATATTCATCAAAGGAAAAAGCGGAACCCCACCTCCCAGAACCCCAGCAAAAAGCCCAATAATGCTCATCTGGCAAATAGGAAAGGCTGCCTGGTATTTCGTGAGAGCTATCATTACTGACACCATGATTTTTGTCATCTCTTAGGGACCCATTTATTTATTTATTTTAAAAAAAAATATATATATATATACATATATATAGGGTCTTGCTATAGGTAGTTTAGGCTAGCCTTGAATTCCCAATGTAGCCCAGGCTGGCCTCAAACTCACGATGATCCTCCTGCCTCAGTCTCCCGAGTGCTGGGGTCACAAGTGTGCACCACCATGTCCAGGTTTGTTTTTTTAAATTTTGTAGGTGGTCTCCCTCCCTCTCCCTCTCCCTCCCTCCCTTTCCCTTTGAGATAGGGTCTCACCATGTAGTTCGGACCAGCCTTGAACTCACTATGTAATCCAAACTGGCCTCAAACTTGCAGCAATCTCCTGCCTCAGCCTTTCGAGGGACCCATTTAATTTTGTATCCAGTGTATCTGTCTCCCTCGTATGTAAGTGCACTCTGCCTCATTGGGAGGCTCACTGGCCTGGCATTCCATCTAGTCTAAGCGACCTATCACTCAGACCCAGGAGGGGAAGGGTACTGTTGCAGGGTTACCTGCCAAGATGGAGTGTAGAGACTCTTCTTTCACCACAACCACTTGCCTGTGAACATCCCTAAGAAGGAGACAGGGAACAGCTTACTCTCCACCTGAGGTAAACGCATCAGAGTTTGTCTCAGCTCTTGAGAACCCTGATTCCTGGATATATTCCCAACCCTCTGCCCAAGTCTGCAGCAGAGGTCCTAGGGCACAGAGCACTAAGCCAATCCTGGGCTCACACACACTCTGGGAGAAGCTAGCCCCGGCAGCCACACCAGCGGCGTGGCCACTCTCTACCTGCTGCGGTGCTAAGGCTGATGAACCAGTGGAAGGCGATGGCATACGCCACTGGGCAGTTCGGCCTCCCAGTCTGCTCCAGGGAGGGTGACAGTAGAACGGCCTCATTCCCTCACACGCCCGCCTCAGTCCTTGGGCCACGAGGACTGACAGACGTAACACTGCTGCCTGCTCAGGGCCTCCTCTCCAGCCTGATGGCCACGCTGTCAGTTGTGTTCCCTGAGCCTCTCCTGCCCGTCCAGAGGCCTCCCACCCTGACTCACCAGACAGACAGTGTGGCTGCAGCCGTGAGCGCCATGACGTAGGAGCCTGTGCAGTGCAGAGTAGAGATGGGGGACGGCAGGAGGATGGGAGGGAGCAGGCGGCGGCCACAGGTGGAGAAGACCGACAGCGTCCTCTTCTCACAGGCGACACACACCACGTCGCTGCGAGAGCGGAGAAAGGGCAGCGTGCTGCAGCACAGGCCGGGGCTGGCTCGTGCGGAGCCTGCCCTGTGCCTGGGCCTAGCTAGGGCTGGGCAGTCTTCTGCTGAGTAGGGCAGTCAGGGCCCACCTAAGGCCGCTCGTGAGAGTCTTCTGTCTTCTGCCCACTGGGCTGCTTGTGCTTCCTTGAGCTTACACTGCTGTTAACCGAGTGGTGTGAGGGTCCTGGAGAGCCACTGCACCTGACAGTCACTCGGGAAATGTGCCCACTCATAAAGCAGTATCACAGGGTACCCATGAAAATCACTTGGCAATGGCTGGCTATGCTAGTCTAGGCAAGGCCTCCGGTGAAGTAGGACGGACAAGTGTGGTAGTATCGGTACAAGCCTCTCAGGAGACACCCAGAGGGCTGTTCTGGGTGGGATGGGAGAGGCAAGGAAGGCTTCACGAGAGATTATATGTCTGGACACCGGTCCCTTTTCTGAGTGACCACTAGGCTCTTTAGGCAGGCACACAACAAGCAGGCTGCAGGTTTCCCAGTGAAGGCTCACCAAGGTGCAACCACAGGTACAGGGAAAGACTGGGGCTCAGGCCCCAGGTAGTGCAAGCAGGTGTGCAATCAGAGTAACAAGTCTCGCCCACAGATGACCACCCAGAGTGTCCCTTCATGACTTCTGTTCTGGTGAGTCAGGGCCTACGGTATGCATGAATGAAGTCCCCCCTACTGTCAGCAGGCCCACAGTAAGGTCAGCTACGAAGACAGCCTGCCAACTCATTTCTAACAAGATGACATCATCTAAAAAGGAAGAGGCAAAGAGGTGCTTTTGTTTACAAACATATCTTGAAAGTATGAATCAGAGAAAATTTTAAGCAGGACTCTGGGAGCAGACAGCTCTCTGTGGTGCTACGGCTGAATTCTGTCTGCTCATCTCTGATGGTCAGGTCCTTCCCTGAACCAGCCCACCGTGAGGAAAGCTGTCCTATGGGGCTGTAACACCAGGGAGCGGGACTGTAGGTGGAGCCCGAGTAGGTACGACTGCACAGGCTGACAGGCCCTGGTAGCCTCTTAGGCCCCCTCCATGGCTGCTGTATTGCTACAGGGGAGGCAGTGCAGCCATCACTGGCCCTCAGCTGGGGGGTACTACTTACTAGTCTTGGGACCAGGAATGAGAGTGGAGCTGATGACGGCACCCAACACACAGTGCATCATTTTCAGGGAGAATGCACGGAGGAACAGACTGGTAGGACCCGACTAGCCGAGCAATACAAATTCACTTAGGGACTGAGGCAGGGATGGCAAACCTGTTAGAGCTTTCAATGATGACAGCCTGCTGCAGCATGCGTGCTACAGGTTCATCACCAGTGGAGTATGGAATTCATATCCTAAGCCCTGAGATCAGTGTTTCCAGATGTCTATGAAAACATTTACATATGACTTTATGACAGACGGCTAAGGGTCTAATGAAAAGGACTGTGAACGATGATCATTGTAAAATCCTAGTAAAAGTATCTGCTGCTTCTTTTTTTGGGTACCGGGAATTGAACTTGGGACCTTGTGCTTGCGAGGCAGGTGGCAGAACCACTAAGCTAAATCCCTGGCCCTACCACATGCTTCTGACTGGGGACCTATGGCTGGCATGAGCCTGAAGAAAATGAATCTTCTCTTTAGACTGAGCACAGGATAAAGCTCTTGTTCAGTGCCAGGAGCCTCTAAGAAGGCACCAAGCAATTAATCATTAAATTATGATCTTTCCCCAAAGCACAGAATCTAGAGAGGGCAAAACTGGGGACTTGGGGAAATAATCAGAAATCCATCCTGACCACCGTGGATAAAAATCTGGGGTCCAGAGAAAGACCCCACAAGGAGGGTGAGGCAAACTTCAATCTTCAACTTGAGTCCAGGAATCCAGGCAAAGCAAGGGAATAAAACCTCCAGCTTCATCTGGGTGCCTCTCAAGTGCTCAGATAACATGGGGATGAGAATTACTTCATTGGATGTTGCAGGAACTTGAGATGATAAATATACACGTTGGCCCTGAGTAAGACCCAGTGTGATCCTCTGTGGGAGCCATCCTCCCCTCAGAAAGGCTGCATTCTAGTGAAGTAACAGTGCCAGCCAGCACGCACAGACACCTCCTCTCCAGGACAAGCTGGGACCTCGCTGTACTTACCAGCTGCCAGCGGCAGTGAGGATCCGGCTGGTGAGCACTGTCTCCCACTCCTTCCCTTCCCGGGTGCACTTCAGGCGGCTCAGCTTCACCCCCCCAACAGCGGTCACTTCATTCTCCACCTCGATGTACATGGAAGGGTCAGAGCTCACCTGCATGCGAGACAGTACACACATCTTTTCAGGCCATAGCAGACCTGCCCAGACAGGGGTCCTGGGACCAGTGAGATACTCAGGGACTCTGCAGCTCTGGGCTCTGAAGCAGGAAAAAAACAGAGACACAGGCTAGCTGGTGGGGTGAAGGGCCACAGGGCAGGGCAAGAGGGCCCCGTCACCTTACAGGGCTGAACACACTGTGAGTAAGGACGACAGGGAGCCAAGGACAGAGCTTGGAGTGAGACTCTGCTTACAGCCTCCTGGTTAAAAATCTTCAAAGACTTGAGCCTGTGGTGGTGCTGGGATAAAAACCTAGAAAACTCAAAGGTGATCTCTAATTCCTGTGGCTGTAAGTCTCAGTCTGCTCAACTGAGACTATCCTGGAGGAATATCCTAGCACAGCATGAATGAAAAATGTGGAGTTCAGTGTTTGGCACCAGAGAGGCTCAAGAGTGTGTGTTTACAGAGCTGATCAACAGATAATTCAGTATGGAAATTCAGGCTGATGGTCGTACCACATGGCTACACAGGAGTGTAAGCTGTAACCACAGCCATGTTCCCTTCATAGACACTCAGAAACCAAGTACAGTCCCAAGTCGCACCCTGCCGTGAAGATATTGAGAAGGGCTGGTGTTTGGGAGAGGAGGCACTGCCTGCCTCCACTAATCAGCAACAAGAACCTACTATGTGGGTCTCATCCTTCGACTCCACCTGCTCCATGGTACATAGCTGGGAAGGGCCGATGCCTGCTTTCCAGTGCCCTGTGAAGGCCAGCCTAGATCTGGAGCAGTGTGCGGCCAATGGGAACTGACTCACACACAGGGTCCGAGAAGGCTCCCCGAGGTACAAACGTTGTGTAGAAAGGAGGGAGCATGTGCAAAGACATCACGGTGGCTGAGGCATGGATGTGGTGTTGACCAGAGGGCCTCTGGGTATAAGGGATTATTTGGCCTAGAATTGTGTTTGAAGCTCAGTGTTACAAGAGGTCCAGCAGATCTGGTAATGACTCTGCCAGGCCCTGAGAAGTCCACAAGGCCAACGGAACCATAGGCAGACAGACCGTGACCATGTAGTTCCCTGGGTCCGGAGCCTGAGGCTGCCAGGATTGAATGTGGAAATGCAGGAGAGTTCTCGAGGGGATGCCTATGACAAGTCTTAAAGGAGGTGGTCATCTAGAAGATGTAATTATAAAGGCAGCCCTGGCAGCTGGTACATGAAGGGCAATACCATAAACAGAGCTATGAGGGGGCCAGGGATTGAGCTCAGTGGCACTGTGACTGCTTGGCAAGTACAACGTCCTGAGTTTGATTCCTGGTACGGGGGGTGAGGGGGAGAAAGAGTTATGAGGGTGAGGAATAGGAAGGTAGCACCCTTTTTTTTTGTTTTGAGAAAGGGTCTTCTACACAGTTCAGGCTGGCCTTGAACTCACCATGCAGCCCAGGCTGGCCTCAAACTCTTGGAGATCCTCCTGCCACAGTGTCCTGTGTATATGGATCACAGAGGCACTGGATAACAGTCCCCCAAAGCAGTAGAAATACTAGGTTTATAATGGGTGTGTGTGTGTGTGTGTGTGTGTGTGTGTGTGTGTGCGCGCGTGTGTGTGCGCGCGCGCGCTAGTATACACCAGTGAGGGAGTCGGTGAAGGGCGCCAGCACTTACCTGGAGGGTGAATGCTCTCTGAGGGCCTGGAATCGGCAGCTTCAGTGCAAGTGCTGGTGCAGACAGACACAAGGCCTCTTTTTCCGCAGTTAGGGCAGCTGGGGACTAGAAGATCCAGAAATATCCCTGAGTCTCAGGGCAATATACTGGGTATCATTAGGTACTTAGAGGTGAGGCTGGCCTGCTGCCAGGACACTTCTACTTACTCGGTGAGGGAAAAAGCACACAGGCTGCTACAAGATCCCCAGCTCACAGACAAGGGAGCTGACACCAGAGGCCCTGCTCGAGGCTCTGGGCTGGAGTGCAGGTAAAGGAAGCACAGCCTCCACGTGATTTGCATGTGTTTGCATCTGAGCCAGCTGGTCCCTAAGGTGTCCCACACCAATGAGGAGCAGTAGGACATGCAGGGCGTCCCAGCACTGAGCTCAGGGAAGTGAGGCAGAATGGTGGTGGGCCTTACCTGGACAGAGAGAGACATGGGCAGCAGGCGGGAATCTTTCCTAGGGCGCCCTTTCTTCTTCTTTTCCACTGTTTCTACCTCGAGCTCAAGTTTGCGCTTGGACAGTGAGGAAGGCTTGGTCAAAGGGACCTTTTCATCGCTGTCACTGCTGCTTTCCAAAAGGTCCCGGGGCCTCAGCTCTTTTACAAGGTTCTGCTCTTTCAACCTGCACAGAAAGATATGTGACTTTCTTTCTCTTTCTTTCTTTCCTTCCTTTTTTTTTTTTGAGATAGGGTATCACTATGTAGTTCAGGCTGGTCTTGAATTCACTATGTAGCCCAGGCTGACCTCAAACTCATGGAGATCCTTCTGCCTCAGCCTCCTGAATGCTGGGATTACAGGTGTGTGCCACCATGTCTGGCTCTGATTTTCTTTATACAACTATTAATTTTATAGTTTTAAAAAAATCCATACTCGTCCCAAAATGTTGATAAGTACAAAAAGTAGAGAGGATTTGTTTTCTGCACCAACATGCAGAGTTTGGAGACTGACACACCTGTCCTCACAACAAGAAGGCTGAAAAGCTGAAAAGCAACAACTCTCCTTAGACCTATTAGAGAACTGAAGTCACAGGACAAACAGCTACCTTGAAAACTGAGAGTTGGATCAAGACAGAAAGCCACAGCTGACCTGGACCAGAGGCCCCTGGAGTGTTTACTGTCAGACACATTTGCAAGGTAGTTGATATGCTGCTGGGGTCTGAGTGTGGCAAGTTTGAGAGTTATAACTCCTGGGGGTCTGATGGTAGTAGCATGCCCACATATTCATTATTTTTACATGAAGGGATCCCTCTAGGTTTTCAAGGTAAAGACCCTTGGTGGAAATAATATCTTATGTTGTCTGGGCTTGGGGAGGAGGGGATTAATCATTTTGAAACATGTTATCATTCATTTCCCCATAACTAAACCTTGCTCTCAAGAAAACCATTGTACTAGAGCATTATCGTACCTGGGGCAAAGCAGAAATTACTCAGCATCTGTTCCCTGTATTGTGCCCCTCTGCCCTATCCCCATAGGTTAAGTAACACTTTTGGTAGAAGATAATGAAGCCCAGGAGTTTGTACTACACTCCAGGAATTCTGCATCACCACAACCACCACCAAGTTGGAAAGTTAATCGTGAGATTATAGGATGTTTTTCTTCCCCAGTACTTTACCACCATATCAATAAAGCCCCAGTATAGTAACAGTATATTGTAACCATGAGAGCTGCAAGGTACCGGCTCTATTCAAGGAATTTCTAGGAACTCCATGCCAGATAAATAAAGACTCACACTATAAACTTATGTACCTCATTTCCAATACTCAATACAATATTGTCCAACTTTCAACAAAAATTGTAAGGCATGGTAAGAGGTAAAATAAAACCAAAGGAAAACCCAAAAAGCACAAATCAACAACAAGAAACAAAAACACATATTTTCAAAAGACAAAGCAGGGCTGGGCGTGGTGGCGCACACCTGTAATCCCAGCACTCCGGAGGCCGAGGCAGGAGGATCACTGTGAGTTTGAGACCAGCCTGAGCTACATAGTGAGTTCCAGGTCAGTCTCAACTACATAGTGAGACCCTGTCTCAAAAAACAAACAAGCAAACAAACAAAAAAACCAAAAACCCACAGAACGTACAACACAAAAAGAGAGCCCTAATGTAAACTGTGGACTTTGGTGATAATAATGTGTCCTACATCAGATATTAACGAAGGTGGGAGGTTGTGGATGTGTGGGACAGAGGATGTGTGGAAATTCTCTCTATTTTCTGCTCAGATTTTATTTTATTTTTTGGTACCGGCATTGAATTCAGGACCTTGTGCTCTCCAGGCAGGCGCAGTGCCACTGAGCTAAATCCCTAGCCCTTGCTCTGATTCTTAAAAAGAAAAAGTTGATTAAAAAAGTAAATGGTGGTGCATGCCTGTAATCCTAACACTTGGGAGGCTGAAGCAAGACGATCGCTGTGAGTTTGAGGTCAACTTGGGCTACATAGCAAGGCCCTGGTTCAAAAACCTAAAAAAGAAGAAAAAAAAAAAGTAAAGGGACAGAGAAAGGCACGCTATCCTAAGACTAATACAAACACTGAAGTAGCTAGATTAACTTCAGATCAACTATGCTTCAGAGCAAGGGGGTTAGCAAGGATAAAGAGGAACATTATACAATGATACAAGGGTTGATTCTCCAAGAAGATATAATAATCCTTAGTAAGTATGTGCCTAAAAAACAAAATGTCAAAATGTATACAGCAAAACTGAAAGAATGCAAAGAAAAAAATCAGATGGGCAATTACATTATTATAGTTGGAGACTTCACACTTCTCTAAAGAAACCAACAGGTTATGAGGACAGAAAAATCAATAAGGACATATTTAATGAATTAATGTCACACATCACCTGGATTTAACTCACATTTAAAAAAATACTTTATTCAACAGTAGCAGAATACACATTCTTCTTAAACTTATGATAACATAAGTTTGATGGAACAACCATCAAGACAGTGTAATTGGAAAATCGTCAAATATTTGGAGATGGAAAAACATATTCTAAAAAAAAAGAAGAGAAAAAACCTCCACATAGGGCTAAGAAAAAAACTCCCAGACAAATTAAAAAATCTTTTGAACTAGATGAAAATGAAAGCACAATTTACTAAATGTGACAAGTGCTTAGGATTAGCATTGAAAGTATATATGAGTTATATATCTGGCATTATATTGAAGAGATAGGAGTAAAATTTGCTCTTATTTCCAAGAAGCTTATAATTAAATAAGGAAGGCCAATTTTCATAAAATAGGTACAAATATATTAGAGTAGTTTAAAGGAAGAAAATATTATAGTTTGTTTGATATGGCGGTCTTGAAGGAATTATATCTAAGGTCCTTGAAGAACAGTAAGAGATTGATTAACAAAAATAACAAAAAAACAAAAAAAAAAAAAAAAAAAAAAAAAAAAAAACCAAACCAAAACAAAAAAGTTTATATAAGAAAAGATCTGAACTCAATAAAGTAAGCAGCAATAAATATAAAATTTTAGAGCAGCAGTCAAGTGAAATGGAAAGTAGAATAACAACAAAGGAAAAAAAATGAAAAATCGATTCTTTGAAAAGATCAGTAAAATTGACAAATGTATAGCCAGGGTAATCGAGAAAAAAAGGGAAGGCATAAATTATTAGCATCAGAAATGAAGAAGCCCTCACTACTGATCCAATGAACACTCAAAGGATCACAGAAGAGTAATATGAACACCTCTGTCTGCACACATTTGATAACTTATATGCAATGAAGCAACCCCTTGAAAGAAATAATCTACCAAAATTCAAGGAAAAACAAGATCATATAAATAGGCCTATATCTATTAAATAAGTTCAATCAACAATTAATAACCTTCCCAAGAAAGCAAGCACCAGACATAGATAGTTTTACTGGTGAATTCTACCAAACATCTAAGGCAGAAATTATATCAATTCTCTATAATCTGTTATAGAAAACAGAAGCAGACGGAATAATTCCTAACTCCTCCGAAGCCCCAGAATTATTTCAATATCAAAACCAGATAAAGGAATTACAAAAAAAACTATACATCCATATTTTCCATGAATATACACACAGAAATCCTTAAACAAAATACTAGCAACTTGAATCTAACGTGTATAATTATACTCCACAATCAAATGAATTTATTTTAGGCATACATGCCAGTCCAACATCCAAAAATCAATTAATTTACCAACAAGGCCAAATAAAAGCCTTTTTATATACTGCAAACATTTACGAATACAAATCTTAAAAGTTTTTTAAAAAGTCTTATAATTTAAAAAATCATATAATTATGAGATTTAGAAATAGTACTCCATAAAATCCAACATCTACTTATGACTTAAAAACTCTCAGCAAAGTGCCAGGGATTTAACTCAATGGTTCTACCACTTGTCTCGTACGAGCATTAGAAATAGTACTCCACAAAATCCAACATCTACTTATTTGTTTTTTTGGTACTGGGGATTGAACTCCGGTCCTTGCGCTTGCAAGGCAGGCCACCGAACTGCTGCGCTAAATCCCCAGCCCTCCAACATCTACATATGACTTAAAAACTCTCAGCAAAGTGCCAGGGATTTAGCTCAATGGTTCTGCCACTTGTCTCGTAGGAGCAAGTCCCGAGGTTCGATTCCCTGTACCAAAAAAACAAAAACAAAATAAAACAAAACAAAATGAAAAAACTCAGCAAACTGGGAATAGCTGGGAATTTCTTTTTAACTTGATAAAGAATATCTATAAAATTTCTTTGGCTAAAATCATACTTTTTTTTTTTCGTTGTTTTTTTTTTTTTTTGAGACAGGGTCTCACTATGTAGTTGAGACTGACCTGGAACTCACTATGTAGCCCAGGCTGGTCTCGAACTCACAGAGATCCTCCCGCCTCAGCCTCCGGCGTGCGCCACCACACCCGGCTTTAAAATCATACTTAAAGGTTAAAAAAAAACTAGGTTATTTTCTCTTATGCCTAAAAAGGCAAGGATGTCCTTTCATTATTTCTATTAAATATTGTATTCGAAGTCTAACGCAGCAATGTGAGAAGGAAAGAATAGGTACAAAGAATGAGAAGGAAGAGAAAACTATCTTCATTCACAGAAGACATTGTTTTCGTTGAAAATACCAAAGAATAAACAAGAAAAACATGAACAAATGATTATAGCAAGATTACAGGATAAAAGGCTAATATGCAAAAGTCAATTGCAGCCAGGGATTTAGCTTAGTGGTTCTGCTGCCTGCCTCGCAAATGCAAGGTCCTGAGTTCAATCCCTGGTACCAAAAACAAAAAAAACCCAAAAATCCCAAAAGTCAATTGCTTTTCTATGCATCAATGAACAATTGGAATTTGGGTTTCACCTTCTAATGCTTTACAACAGGACACAGCATCCACTACATCCTGTGGATGTAGCTTAATACTCTGGAAATTATGTCAGATTTTCTTGTAATTATAGTTTTGTAAAATAAAAGGAATGTAGGCACTTTCTTGGTATGGCTGTTTCTTACACTGGTTCGCAAGGAAAGCCAAGAGAAATCCTCTAAAACATCTTTCAAATCAATGTTAAACTCTCACAGTCCCTAAACAGTTTGATCACAATCTGAACTCATCTCAACAGCAGCCTATGAAAGTCACTTTGATTGGTACTGTATAGAGC